AATAAATAAATAAATAAATAAATAAATAAATAAGTAAATAAATAAATAAATGTTTACAAAAGCACGCAGTTACTCCAAGAAAGTCTTTCATAAGAATGTTCGATTTTCTTTCAACTTCTGGGCATCTGCGGTTCTGTATTTTCCCTCGCTCCACCACACGTCGTAGACTGCGCGTAGCTCACCTAGCAGTCAGTCCGCAGTCCCCTTTCTTCCCTCTCACGTGAGTACGTCACAGCTGTGGGCGTAAAATTAAATACTCACCAGCGCAGCTTCCCACCCCCCTCCAACCCCTTCCCCTCTCATCCTTCCTCTCACCCTTCCTCTCACCCTTCCCTCCACCCTTCCCACCCGGACTACAACAACGTAGACGTCGCACCTCCTTAATTCACCCTGAATTCTGAAAGTGAATTGCCCCAGACAGACAGGGTTTTAGGTTAAATAAGCTGTTAAGCCTGCTTTAGCAGCCCATGAGTTGTTCTTTGGCTGTGGTGCTTTGATCAGATTTCAAAACATCGTCCTGTTTAGAGTTAGTCAACTCTGGCAGACTAGAAGACACAATAATTCATCGATTGATTTCCCGGAGTATTTAAACAGTCCTCAGAAGTGGTTATATCATTTTGATGGATTTGTAGCCAGCACACTTGGTAAGAAAAACAAACCACTCGTATGGCAAAGACAAACGTTTTGATCTCTCTTTTAAAAAAACGCAAAAGTAGAAATTACTTTTAGTACCCCCCCCCGAAAAAAGACAAAGAAAAACAAACAAACAAACAAACAAACGAACAAATATGGAAACCAAAAAAACCCCCCCAACAACCCCCAAACAAACAAACCAGCAAACAAATAAACAAATAAACAGAAACTAATTTGGTGACAAGACTCAAATTCCACAAGGCAGGACGTTGAGCTGAATAAACACTCATTAGACAGCGGAAAAACTGAACCGTCTAAAAACGATAAAAGGAATTTAAAGAGATAAAGGTTACAATACCGTAATAACAATTCAAGGCATATCAACTTTCCCACATACGCCAACTTGTCAGAGATAGAGCGGTGTTTGGTATCGTAACTTGGAAACAAGTTTGCTTTTGTTTGAAGTTGAAGGAAGGTTCTGTGTTATGGAGAATCTCAAGATAGACTACCTAATATTTTCTCGTCTTAAAAAAAAAAAAAAAAAAAAAAAAAAAAAACCAAAAAACAACTCCCCTTAAAAAACAACAACAACAACAAACAAACTCGAAACAAACCCGCTTCAGGGATTATTTATAGATTCTAGCAGAACAATACGACTCTTAACATCCCGGAAGACACTTAAATCCTTTTCCAAGAGAAATCAAATCATTTCGAGGTGTGAAACGACCAGAACAGTTTTCATTCCTTGTTAGAAAAAGCAAAAAAAAAACCCAACACC